GCTCTTCCTGCGCTTGGCCCGTGGCCGGCAGCTGGCCAGGCACATGCCTCCCACTTGGAGCCCACCCGTAGGTCTCCTGCCTCCACCCTGCACAGTGCCTTGGCCTGGCCCAGGCTGTGCACATGGGTGGGCCTGCTTTGTGCCGGAGCAGTGTTGGTGAAAGGGCCTGGAAGCGGGATCTGGCCCTCATTGCTTACAGAGTAACCATGGGCTTCACGGGCTCATGTCTACACCACGGTGATGGTGAAGCCACCCCACCAAGTCTCTCCGGCATGAGAACAAGCTTGGAATGCACCTGGCAAACCCTAGGTGCTCTGGAAGCAGAGCGTCTGACAGCCAGCTCTCCACATCCCTGGGCCTTGAGTCCTCCCAGTGCAATGGGAAACTCCATGGCCTCCATCCATGGGAGAGGAGAAGGGCTGACCTGACCACCTTCCCTTCTCCAGGGCGCAGCGATGCTCATCTCAGCTGCATCAATGACCCCAGAGGCAGGTGGCCCAGGCTCCCAGGGGCCCCCAGGGGCCCCACCACCCTTGCTGCCCAAGCCAGGAAAGGACAACCTGCGTCTGCAGAAACTTCTAAGGAAGGCAGCTCGGAAGAAGGTGACTGGGAGCGGGCCCCCTGCCCCACCTGGAGCCTTTCGCACCTCTCTGTCTCCCGTAAGCGAGGTCAGCCATGACCAGGAGACCACAGCCCCACGCCTCACTGAGACCCCGCGCATGGTGGCCACCCTGTCCCGCTCCCCACACACCCCCATCATCCATCATGTTGCATCGCCCAAGCAGAAGTCTGGATTCTCCTTCAGTCTCACCCAGCGTAGAACTCTGGCTGCACATTTCAAGGCCACGGCACCCCAGCTTGTGGCCCCAACCCCAGAACCTGTCCACCCCCCAAGTGGCATCACTGTAGTCTCTGCCCCAGCATCAAGGGATACTCATATCACCCAGATGCATATCCGGCTGGCACCATCCCCACATGCTGAGATCTCTGAGCCCCCAAGGGGGGCCCTGGAAGGGGGGCCCAGTGGCCAGGACCAAGACATGGCACCTTGCTCACCCAGGGCCCAGCCTCTCATCCCAGTGGCTCACATTCGCCCACTGCCCACTGGGACCCTGGCTGCCAGTCCTCAGCCTGAGGAGCCCCCTGTACCAAGGCCCCCACCTGGCTTCCAGGCCTCAGTGCCCAGAGAGGCTGGCACCAGGGTCGTGGTACCCATAGCCCCCACCTACCGCTCACCAGGACCCTCACCTCACAGCCAGGCCCCTGTGGTTCCTGAAGCTGAGCACCTGGCAGGGTCCCCCACTGCTGACTCTGCTGTTGGGGCAGAGGCAATTTCCAACCCCCTTAGGATCTTGTCATCTACCCCACCATCAGGCCCTCACCCATGCCCTGTCCCCAAAGTCGCACCCAAACCCCAGCTCAGCGGCTGGACGCGTCTCAAGAAGCAGCTGATGGAAGAGGCAGAGGAGCCCCCATTCCTGGGGCCAGATCAGACCCAAGCACCTGCAGAGCAGGAGGCAACTGCCCAGGCTCGTCCCCGGCCCCCCGCCTCCCGGGCCTCCAGGATGTGGGATGCAGTGCTGTACCGCATGTCGGTGGCCGAGTCCCACAGCCGCCAGGACAAACCCAGGGATGGGCAGCACACCTTGCCTGGCCTCGGCCGGCTGCCCTTCTTGTACCGCCCTCGCTTCAATGCCCGGAAACTACAGGAGGCCGCCCGACCCCCTCCTGCGATCCACTCCATCCTACCGCTGAGCCCCCAGCCCAAGAACTTCAACAGGACAGCGACTGGCTGGAGGCTCCAGTGAAGTGCTGGAAAGGTCTCTGGGGCCCAGGACCATGGGATGGTCAGAAGGGGCTGAGGTTCTAGCTGAGAGGCTACAGGCATGACAGGAGAAAGTGCTGGGTGTGGACTGGAGTGGAGAATGGAGGCAGCCTGGGAAAGGCAGGCTGGGATGCTGAGGGGGCCTGGTGGTCAGCTGGGACAGACCAGGTACATGGGAGTGGGAAAGACAAGTTGGAGCAGGGGACAATGTAAGGAGCACAGAGGTTTGGGTAGTGTGGAGGGAACAGAGAGGGGTCTGTGTCAGGGTACAGTATGGGAGTTTCTGGGGTGACAATAGAAAGCACACAAGTCTATAAGGAACCAGAGAATTGGACTGATTGACCTCGCCTGGACAGGGGCAACCTGAGTCCCCTCACAGGGCAAGGCCCACATTCCCCTCCTTGCTTGCCGAGTGAATGAGTGTGGTCAGGACTATCCCATCACTGGCACCGTTAGCTGGGTGCCTATGCTTCCTGGCAAGGGAGACAGACCCTTGGGCTGGGCTACTGTGAGGAGGCCACCCCTGTTCCTCCATCTGGGCTGGCAGCCTGAGCAGGGCTTGCTGATGGGAGAGCAAAGGGCAGGGTGTCAGGATCAGTCAGGACCAGGCATCGGGGGATGAAAATATCATTGTCCTGGGATGGAGGGCAGCTTGGTCTAACTAGACAGAGGAGGAGCTGCAGCCTGGGCAGGGGCAGTGGAGGACTTGTGGGCATCATGCAGCTTTGGGGGCTCCCAGTCTGGGATCAGTTAGACCCAGATCTGTATGGCAAGAGGGCCAAAGTGGTACCAGGGGAAGTCCGTGTCCCCAGCCACTGGAGCAGGACTCAGGAAGGGAAGAAAGCAGTTGGGGAGGCTACTGTTCCAGCCTGGGACGTAATGGGTGCTGCAAATGGAATCTGGGACCCAGGTCACTAATAAATGTGTGTCTAACCATGGCAGGAGTGTCACTTCTGTCTTCACCAAGGGATGGGATGGGTGGTAGAACCCCCAAGTGGCCCTTGGCTGGGATGGTAGGGTGAGATCTAGAATATAGCCCCTTTACAGACCTCCTGCCCACAGATGGGCAGGAAGCCCAAGCTTCTGGGGGCCTATCATCTACCACCTCCATGCCCTGCCGTGGCCTGGCTGCTCTCATTTACCCAGTGAGCCCAGCTGGGACTTGGTAGGAGTCCTAGAGGGAGTCCTGAGCTCCCCAGCAGAGCTGGTGGCTGAACTGGGCTGATTCTGGTGAAATGCACAGAGAATCTGAGTTTCATGTAAGATGAGGGGGAAATGTTTGGGAACGTTTACATAGGGGTGGAAGACTGTACAGAGTCTGGGTTCTGGCCAGGTCGGAGAGCAGGCCTTCAGCCCTTGGAGCCCACTTTCACAGCCACTTTCACAGACAAGCAGATCCTGTCCATGCCATCACCGTCCCAGAATGGTACATTTCATGTGTGACACTTCATGCCCTGGTTATTGCCCTGGACTTACCGAGCAGCCTAGTGCGCTGAGCCCTCATCCACAAGCACCTTCTCATACTTCCCATGTCCAGTGGCCACAAACTTGTACCTCTTCCCAGATGGAGTGCTCTGTTAGACAGAAGACCAAGAATAAAGGTGAGAGCAGTAGAAGGATGATGCTGCTGCCTCCAAGAAGCCCTTGCAGATGCACCAAGAACAGTCATTATTGGCCCTCCCCTGCTGTGCCAACTCTATTTAGACTCTACCTTAATTGTTGATGAGGTCTTGGAGCCTCCTTTCTGCTCCCAGAGACTTTTCTTGCTCATGTCTCCAGCTACAATATCCTGGGAGGCAAAAGAAGGATATGTCACAGGTGCAGACTGTTGACAATGACGGGTTAGAAGTCCTGAAAACTTGCATCCTGTCTCACCTTACCTAGCCAGGGGACTTGGGACATGCTCACTTTGTCTCTTTGTGTAAGAGCTTAGAGAAGAGGCAGGGAAAGTAAAGAAGGCACCAGCCACCTTCACTTTACCAACACAGCCTTTTTCACACAGTCTTCAATGGTAGGAAGGGTTAACCCCAGTGTTCTTTCTACACTTACTTGCTTTACCTAGGGAACCCAGTCTGTTGCTAAACTCCCAATATTTGATTCTCCAGCCCAACCTTGCACCAGGAAGGGGCCTTACCTTGCAAGGAGTCTTGGCTGTGGACTGAGCCTGCACCTCTCCTGTCTCCCACCGACTCTTGGTACTAGCCACAGCCATGCTGGGCAGCTCTATGGAGGCCTGGCGCGTTAGCTTGGGGATCCGGCTAGCAGTCTGCAGAGAAAAGATAGCCCCAGGATCGCTTCAGTGAAAAGTCACTATGGGACACATCAGAGGGTCCCACTGGAGTGTGGAACTATGAAAAGATGTGTTTTCCTTCATTCAGTGAACTGTGAATCACCCTCTTGTTCCAAAGAGTACAGGTGACATGGTGACATACAAGATCAATGTGAGGCCTATCTTCATGCTGCTCGTGGCATAGGGCTGGAGGAACATGGGTTGCATAGAAGGGCATTGATTGAATAGAGGAGCATTTGTTGGATAGAAAGAGAGCTGCTTGAATAGAGGGGCATGGATTGGAGGAGAGTTGATTGGATGGAGGAAAACTGATTTGATGGAGGAATGATGATTAGATGGAGGGGTATGGTTTAAATAATGAAGGATGTTGGTTGGGTGAAAGACTATTATATGGAGAAATGTTGGTTGGATAGAGGGATGTAGGTTGAATGAAGGAGCACTGGATGGATAGATAAAGGGGTCTTTGCTGGATGGGTAAATATTAGATTTGTTTAAAGGAGGGGTATTGGTTGGATAGAGGGTCATGGGTTGGATGAAGAGTGAGGACTGTGTGGGGAGACATTGGTTAAATTGATGATTGTTAAGTGGATGTAAAAGCAGTAGGTATATGGCAGTGAATAGATGGAGGAGTGTTTGTTGAATGGAAAAATGTTGGCTGGGTTAGATGAAGGAGGGGTTTTATATTGATCGAGGGGCACTGATTGGATGGAGAAGTTAGTTGGATAAAGGGGCATGAGATAGATGAAGAAGGGGTATTGGTTGAATGGAGGAATATTGAATAGATGAGTTGATAGTATGAAAGAGCTTCAGATGAATGAAGGGGCATTGCTTGAAGGGAGGAGCATTGGTTGGGTGGTGTATTGGCTGTGTGAAGAAGCATGAGTTGGATGGATGAGGGGTACTAGGCAGAGAAGATAATTGGATGGAGAGAGTGCTGGTTGGATGGAGGTTATGTGTTGAATAGAGAGGCTTTGATTTCATGAAGGGCTATTGATTGACAGTGTGGGTATTGATATGATGAGTGTAGTATTGGTAGGGTAAAGAGATATTGGCTAACTGGATGGGTGTTGATGTGGTGGAAGGACTATTAGTTGGGTGGAGAGTAACAAATGAAGGGAGAGTTGGTTGGATAAAGGGAAAGGATCGGAATGAGGAGTATTGGTTGATTGGAGGGGCAATGGTTGAATGAGAGATAATGATTGGATGAAGGAAATGTTGGTTAGATAAAAAGATTGGTTGAATGGAGGGGCATTGGAAGATGGGGGCCTTGGTTGAATGGCAGGGAGATAGTTGTATGGAGTATTGCTTAGATAGTAGAGTGTTGGTTGAAATGAGAGGTAGAGGTTAAATGATAATAAAGTGTTGGTTGGATAGAGGAGTGTTGGTAGGATAGAAGGATATTGGTGGAATGGATGAGTGTTGGTCAGATAGAGATAGTTTTGGTTGGATAGGGGTATTGGTTAGAATGAGGGGCATGGGATAGTTAGAGGAGGGACTGTTAGTTGGATGGAGGAGTATTGGTTAGACAGAAAGGTGTTTGTTGAATGAAAGAAGGTGCATGAATGGAAGACAGGCCTGACTGCAGAGGAAGGGCCTGGACATACCTCGATGGCCTGAGTGTACTGCTCCAGCCGCTCATCAATCTTAGAGATGGGCAAGGCTGCCTGGGACTTCTTCACACTGTTACTGGAGGGTAGGAGAAGGGTCAAAGCCTCATGTCATTGCTACTCCTAACTGAACCCAAGCCCTTCCCAGAGCTCTCCCATGTACCCAGATCGCCACTCCCTCAGCTACTCTCTTCAGCCCCTTGTTGGAAAAGCCTGGCTTCTGAGCCTGGAAAGCAGACATACATACCTCTTCTTTATGGAGAGGTTCTGGGATTCAGTCTGGTCGATCAGCTGTGGGTGAGCAGACAATGGTCTCGGGTAGGTAGAACAAAGCCGCATTCTATCCCCCAATCATTCCCCTCTACCATCCAACCATTCACTCTCATGTCACAAGGATTTATGGAGTGCCAGTCACTGGGAGAATAGCATACAACAAGCTGGGCATTTGTGCCCCCATCTTCCCAGAGCTGACATACCATTTTTTTTTTTTTAGAGGTTTTTGCTATAGGGCACGTGTGCTCACCAGAAAGACAGAGAGAGACAGAAAGACAGAAAGTGAGAAATCGCACCCCTCAGAGGGGATGGCCACACTGCAATCCCTCCTTCTCGATTCTCCTCTCGGGATCTTGGGCACGCATGCACATGCGCCTGGCGTGAGTTTAAGCCACCGGGTCCAGGACTTGAACTGCAGCCGACTACATGGGAGTCCAGTGACATAGCCATTATGCCATCTGCTGGTCCCTGTTTGTTATTTTTTAGAGGACTGTCTGAAGCCCCAATGGGTCTTCATCCCATTTTCAGCAATAGAAAGTGAGCATGTGCTCTTCAGTGGTCACTTGTTAAGGATCCTTGAGACTTCTGAGCTCTGCATCCTTGGCACTGGTTGGCTGCACCAGACTAAATGAACTTTACTTGAGAGAGAGTAGGATCTAACCTGACCAATAGGATAGGTGAGAAAAATGCTAAAATCTATGAAAATGGTAGGCAAACCAGTCTAATCATGATTTTTCTACTTTCAAACTGAAACTAAGAATCACTGACATAATTTTGGTCCATTAAAGTTTTTTTTTTATGCCTATTTTGCCTAAGTGGATTTAATGTTGTTTTGTTTGTTTTATTTTTTTTTTCCCTCTCCTGACACTGGAAAGAGAAAAAGAGAGCAGGCTTTGGGGCTTGACTTACTTTGGTGCTGGGGCTCAGTGGGGGTGAGGTCTGCTCAGTAATCCCCTCCAAGTCCAAGGGGCTGGTCGTCCTGGGATGCTGACATTTCTGGTGCCAGGAATAAAAAATGCAAATGAGGCAGGTGACCACCCTCCTTACACCCAAGACTTGTTGGAGCAAACCTCCTCTCTGCAGGCCTCATGCCCTATCTGGTTGGACATGCTCCAGTTCTGGAATTCGTGGTGGTAGAGACTCCAGAAATCTCCTGGTCATGCAGGAGGAACTTGTATGGGAGCATGAAACCCACCACCCTCTGAGGTAGTGGCCCAGAGGGGCTAAAGTCTAAGGATGTGGGGTGCTGGCTCCCTCTGGCCAAGTTCCATGAGACCCACAACATGGTGTGGGCAGTAAAGACAGACCCAACCCAGGTGTCAGAGTATGCCCAGAGTGTGCTCCTGAGGGAAGCCATCACCTCATCTGCCTCCTCAGCCTCTACCACAGCTGAGGTGTCCTGGACGGTCTCCTTTGGGCCATGCTCCTCCTGGCTCAGATACGACTCCTTCAGATGGACTTGGGCTAGGTTCAGTTCATTATCGTCCTCATTTTCACAGGCACATTGGAGGGGTCTATGGTGTGAAAAGGGATGGGAAGCTGGTTGAGGGCTATTTCATCGGTTGGTTCAGTCCCTTTCCAGTTCTAAGCCTCAATTTCCCCATCTATAAAATGGGGACAGTCAGGTTAATGGAGTAATAAGGAATTCCAAGACCCTTAGCCTCTTCGGGAAAGCAAATTCAAAGACCTCAGAGCCGGTCGCATCTCCCTGGGCATCTGCGTTGAGGCCTGGGCCCACATGGTAAACAGCAGCACATTGTCTGGACCTCACTGGGCAGGCCTCTCCCAGGGGCAGCATGGATCAGCCCCAGCCTCATGCCTGCTTGTGTATGTCTCCCCTTTTGGTCAGGGCTGCTGATCCCCTGGGTGTAGGCAAGTGGGTTGGAACAAGGATGCTGAGTGAGAGTGAGGTGAGGCAGTGCGGGTGTTTTGGGGGTCTGTAGGATGAGGCAAAGGCAGGACCCACATCACTGAGGGTACTTGGGGGAGGGGAGGCCAGTCAGCTGGCAGCCAGTGTGGCTCTGCATTTGAGCGGGACTGAACCTGGAGAAGAAGATGGGAAATTCTTGCATTTTCCATGATTTCAGGCCCCTTGGTGTCTGTGCCAGCTGAGACCCAGACCACCCACCCAAGGTGGGCCGGGGTCTGAGCCAGCAGCAGCACACAGAGGGGCCATTCAGGAGCTCAGACCAGTCTGAGTGGCCAGGCAGGTGCCCGGGTGGGGGTGGAGGGTGGAGGCGGCTGAGAGCTGGGGGGTTCCACCAGAAGAGTCAAAGTGCCCCCTGCTGTTGGGATCTGGCAGCCAGGAGACTGGTTGGAGAGAGAAAGGAACGAGTGGATAAAGGACTGGAGCTCCCTGCTCAGAAATGCAGAGTGCTCTGACCCCCAAGGAGAGATGGGGAAACTGAGGCCTGGGGAGGGGAGTGGCAGGCAGTGGGTCAGCCCAGGACCAGGACTAGGACCCCAGAGACAGCAGTTGGCTCTTGGAGTATAGGAACCTCGTTGAGGGAGGGAAAGTGAGGTCTTAGCTCGAGCTAGGGCTGAGCTTGGGGGCCTCTGAGGGGCCAGAGGAACCCGGGTCAGGAAGAGCTAACAGTCCAGTTACAGGCTCCGGTCTCTCTCTAAGCAATGGGGGACCCTAAAGCTGAAGCTTGGAGCTCCTGAGCAAGCCTGGGGTCTCATACTGCCAGGCCTGATGGGGCAGGGGCAGGGGCTAAGCCAAGCAGCTCAGACCTTGAATGGGGGAGCAAGGTGAGTCCAGGAGCAGCCCCTCAGCCCTGAGCCCCAGGGGTGCTTTGTGGCCCCGTTCACACAGGCACACACATCCACACATCTGGAAAGCTCGCCCCCCAGGCTGACTTGCAGGCATGCACATCTGGAAATACCTGCTCCCCTCCGTGGGAATGGAGCTCAGCCAGCCCCGAGGGAGGAAGGGGCGGGCGCGGGCAGGCGGCAGGGGCTGCAGCGCCTGCATTACGTAAGCGGGCTGCAGCTGTGTGCTGATGTGGCAACACCCGGGCCTCCGCAGCTGGCCTGGATGGGGCCCAGGGGCCCTGGGGAGCCCAGGAATGAAATTTCCTCCCCACCCCCTCCCCACAGCCCCTCGCCTGCTGTCTAGCTCTCTTCCTCCCTTCCCTGCCGTCATCTCCCCCTTTCATAGCACTTTGGGGGGCTGGTTGGGAAGGGGGAACAGAGGGTCGCTGTTCTGCCCCACGTCTGCCTGCAAGGTGCCGACCCCACTTGCCTGTCTTCCTGCTGCCCCTCTGGACTGTTGGCCCGAGGGGGCTCCCCTCGGTCCGAGGACCCCTCAGCCCCCAAGTGCTGCTGCCGCTGCTCTGGTTTCTGGGACCAGTCACCAAAACCCTCGTCCTCTTCCAGTTCAAGGGCTTCCGAGGGCTTCAGGCTGAGGCTGGAAGGGCAGCACAGGAAGATCAGGGCTGGCCCTGCCACTGCAGGGCAGCAAGACCTACTCTCCTTAGTCCTGGGACACTGCCTCAACTCCTGGCTCCCATTGTGAGAGATCTTATCTGCCCCTGGGGTGACTCTCCGTGGCTAGGCTGTGTCTTCTTGCAGTCAAAGAATGCCCAGGGACAGGACTGTCCCTCCATTGTCAGTCTAGAGCTGTCTGAGGCCAAGGCTGGGCCTCCCCGTTAGCCTAGGACTGCCCGAGGGCAGGGCTGGGTCTCTCCCCTCAGGCTGGGACTCCCTGAGAGTTAGGCTGGGCTGTGCTAGGTCTTCCCTATCAGGCTGACCAGCTAGCCCCAGGTTCTTTCTCGAGCCTGTCCTCATACTCTTGTGTAGCAGGTATGAGCTACTAAACTAACAGGGGCTGGGAGCTAGGAAGGGCTCTTAGGCCTGCAGGGGACCGAGGACCTGGCTGAGGGTCCGTGACCGCTGCAGCACCCCCACCACGCCCGAAGCTGCTGACTCGGAGAAAATGGAACAAAACAGGGCCGGGAGGAAGGGGAGCATTATTGGAAAAACAGCCCAACCCAGCCACGGAGGCCTCCTGGGCCCAGAGAGGAAACGAGCCGGCCTGTGGCCCGCCAAGTTGGACGTGGCCTCGGTGAGTCACCGGCAGCAGGGAGCTTGGGCGGGGGGCTCGGGGGCCAGGGCCACACAGCTGGGTTCGAGTCCATCCAAGCCAGGCCCAGGCCCATACAGGGCGTCCAGAGTCTGAGCCAGGGACCCCAGGAGCTGGCCAGGAGTGGGGAGGCCTCACGTGTCTCTGCAGCTCCTCTGGCCAGCCAGGCATCCACAGACTGGGTAACCGAGGGCTGCTGACACCCTCACCCCAAGATCTACCTTGCCCCTGGGTTGGGCTCCTCCTTGGTCTCATCCTGCATTGGGCTCCCCAAGTCAGGGCCTGACCACTAGCACCCCTTTGCCCAAGCTACATGGAGTAGGGGTTCAGGCCCGCTGTGCTGGCTGAGGGTGGCTCACAGTGCCTCCTGCTCCGGCCTTTCTGGGGAGCAGCAGCCTCCATCCTTGTCCTGGGCCTGCAGTTGCCTGTCTCGCTCCCTCCGGCGTCGCTCACGGGCAGCTTCTTCCTCGTCCTCCACACTCCACTGAGTGGTGAGCCTAGGGTTTGGGGACACAGAAGGACAGTGAGGACATTCACACCACAGCAGACACGGATGCCCCTCTGCATCCCACTTCTCTCTTCCAAGCAGGCCTCACTGGGGGCCGCATCATGAGGGTGGTGGGCAAGCTCTGCCCTGGATAACCAGGGCCAGCCCTATACCAGCTCTCTTGGTCTCTGTGCACCCAACTTTTTTTTCTTCTTTTGGAGAGGCTTTTGCTATAGAGCACGTGCGCTCGACAGACAGAGAGACAGAAAGGGAGAAATCACCCCCAGGGGGGATGGCCATGCCGCAATCCCTTCTCCTCCATTCTCCTCTCGGGATCTTGGGCACGCACGCACGCACGCCCGGCGTGAGTTTAAGCCACCAGGTCCTGGACTCAAACTGCAGTCGGCTACATGGGAGTCCAGTGATGTAGCCATAATCCCAACTGCTGGTCCCCGTGTACCCATCTTTAAAGCTGAATTTGGGTAAGGCAGTCATGAGGGTGACTCTGGCCCAGGGCTCTGTAAGCATTTGGCACCCTCTATGCCCTCCTGGGGGTGGAGGGGAACTCCTGGAGTCCAGACAGCCTGGAGGAACCCAAGGGCAAACTCGACCCCCTCTGTCCCCTTCTGCTAACCCACATCCTTGTGCCTGGCCAGAGCCAAGACTTAACACCAGTGTGGCTGTGGTCCCACACAGGGCCCTAGGAAAGAATGGGGAGAGATGTCTGGAGTACAGAGAGAGCTGGTCACGACCACCGGGACCACACAGCTTTGCACAGCAGCACTGCTGGCCCTGATAAACAGCCAGCCACCCCCCCACCCCCCACAGCTTACTGGACCCCAAAGATGGTGTCATGAGAAGCTAGCCAGCCAGAAGGCCTCCTGTCCCTACTGCTGGTCCTGTTCTGAGCTCTACCTTGCATTGCCCACTGCTCAGAGGGTCCCAGAAGCCCCCAAGCTCCATTGAGGGCCTCACCCCATCGCTAGGAGGCCCTACAGGGTCAGTTCACCCAGCGCCATTTCCATGACATCTCAGAGCCCTCTGTGTAGTCTCTTTGGGCTGTTTCAGAGATCAGGAAACTGAGGCAAGGAAGAACATCTACCATTGGAGCACTCTCAGAACTTGGGTCTGAAAAGGGCTAGGGGGGCAGCCAGAGGAAGACACAGGCTGGCCTGGGCTGAGGATTTGACCATCAGGGTCTGATGGGGCAGGAGTCTTGGCTGCCATGGTCCTGCCTCCTCTAGCTTGCCAGGAGTGCAAGAGGGGGGGTTCAGGGTCTCTGTGTCTCTACAGGGCTCGCCACCACAGTCTCAAGGAGGGGGCTCAGGCCAGAGCCAGGGACAGGGCTGGGGTCTCCCTGCTGGGGTCCTGGTCCCTTCTGGACAGTGTCCGCTGAATGACCCTGCAATCCGCTCCCCGCTGGGCCTCAGTCCCCTGGCCAGGCAGCCCTGCCAGCACATGATCTAATCTCTCCTAGGTCTCCCTTAAGCCTCTCAGACAAAAGCCAGGCCTCTCCACAGGCCCGAGTTCAAGGCCCACTCCCCCTGTTGCAGCCACATGGGACTCCAGCCACGCAAACCAAACCGCCTGCTCATACCTCAGCACCCCCTGAAATCCGCCTGCCCGCCCCTGCTCGTCAGAAGTGCCTTCAACTCCCGGCCCCCGAGGAAGCCACTTAATTCCCCACACCTGGCTCCCATCATCCCAGCAGATGAAGCCCAGTTTCCTGCCTCCACAGGCCCTTGGCTGGGGCTGGGGGTGCTGCTGGCCCACATGCTAAGTGGGGATGATTCTGGGGTGCTCTTGGTGTTGTAGCTAAAGCCTAGGGCCCAGGGTTCCCCACTACATGGCAGCAGTCTCTCAGCAGAGGGTCAGAGCAAAGTGAGACCGGGGATGGAAAGGGGTGTCCCTACAGAGGGCACCGAGGAGGGGCATGCCTGGCCATTTTTGTACCCCTGTTTCCATGTCCAAGCCTCCATGTGTGTGTATAGTGTGCGCGTGTGTACCCAGGTGAGGCTAGGAAGTCCTTGTGTGTGTGTGCATGGGTGTGTGTGCCCAGAAAGGGTGAGCACCTGAGCCTGGGTTATGGCTTGAGCCTCAGATTCTCCTTGGACCTGGTCTCAGGGTCTTCCCTGTGGGACTCACTCTGGGTGGAGCTAGGGCCCTCAATCTTGCACCTCCGACCCTTCCACCAACTCTCAGGGGAGCTGTCAAAGGCACAAAAGAGTGCAGAGTCCCCAGATGTGGGTGAAAATGCCCTTGGTCCACCCTACACAGACCCCCCCCGGGCTCATGCCCAACACACGAGGCCACGGGGGCAGCTGGGGCTCACACGGATGCACATGAGACAGGAAAAAGCACCCTCCACTTGCACCGAGTCCCACACTAAGGCTATGTAGCACACACACCTACACTCCATACTTAGGCCCGAACACTCCCATGCACATGCAGACGCACACGTGTACGCACAAGTGCACGTGCATACTTAGACCTGGGAGCAAGGGGATCGCAGGCTGGCAGGTCCTGTGTCCCCTCCAAGGATCCCTCCAGGGGTGCCCCAGTGCACTATTTACTGTTTTCCTCGCCGTCACCCTGACGACAGCGGTGCCGGCCCTGGCAGAAAGCCAAGGTGTGTTCTCTGAGAACATCGCCCCTGTGAGGCGAGGCCCTTCCAGAGTCACCCCCACTTAGCCCTTCCAGGCTGAGAACTTGAGGGACAACGTGGGGGTTCAGGGTAGGGGTCTCCTAAAGTTCCATGCTGGAGAGAAACTCCAGCGGCCCCAGTTCCTGACCCAGCAGCCTGAGGATGAGGAGGCCTCTGGGCCCCTTCCCCTGCCTCCTCCCTCCTCGCCTG